GTAAGAGCACCCCTGACCCACAGCTTCACTCACAGCCCGGCTCGGCTTCACAGTCCTGACATCCCGTTTACAGACGCCTAGCAAAGGCTACACAAGGAGGAGTTTCCAGACCTTTGACCTCTTTAGACGGCTCCCATCCTTGATTCACGCTCACACAGACGCTCAGCCGTATCTCGGCCCCTGTTTGGCCTGCACACCTCCATATGTGTGTTTCCCTCATTCGTCCCCTGTGAGTCAAAGCGGAGTTTGATAAGGACTGAAGGTCCAGGTCACATCTGTTTGTCTGCAGGCAGGGAGTCGATAGGATTAGGCTGAGCGTGCCAGAAGTTGCCATAACTGCATTTCTCTCGTTACCAGCGGTGGGTTAATGGCCGTCTCGGCCTGTCTTTCGTCTGTCAGGGCTGTTTACTCACACAGGAAGTGAATGGAATGAGTGGTATTGGAGGGAGGGGCTGTGAGTGAGAGTGAACTGCCTCCTGCACCCCTCCTCCCTTTTCCTCTCTTCCCTTGCTCGCTCTCTGACCCACAGTGCTTTGGTCCGATCAAAGCTCTGGACTGACTCTGCTGGCTGCTTACAATCACTAATAGGATTAGATGGGTGGGGGATGGCGTGGCGAGGCAGGCAGGGGTCATCTGTGTCTACCAGCCCTGTTTATCCATTCATAAAGAGTTGTATACAACAATTGAACGCCCTGGTCGAATTTCATGGTTACTGAACTTCTTGAATATGTTAAAAGTTTTAAAGACGTCCCTTTGCACTCTCTATAGGGAGCAAACATTTTCAAACATTTGAAATATTTTTCCTAAATATTTAAAATGTTTTTTAAATTGTAAATATTTGTAAAATGCAAATTATGCTAATTTGCTAATAGGACACAATTTCTGTTTACTTTCTGAGTTCAGCATATTCAGGAAAACAAAAATATAAAATATAAATCTTTTGCACAAGCTACATTTTCTGTTTCATTTTTTGTCCAATATGTTAAATTAACAGTAATTGTGCATTAAAATGTGCAGAAGTGTGTTCACATGTAATTTGAGCAGCGGTGCCCAAACTTTTGCATAAAACTGTATGCATATTTATTTAGGCAAAGATTAATTGTTGTATGACCCACACAAACAGACACTCAGTGCAAAATAAGTTAGCATACAAACATGATCTCTTCAAAGCAGCAACGATATCTAACACATTGATTACCCGTAGCACTATTTACAGGTGTACGACGTGAAGATATTTTACTGTTAATATGATAAATTACACTGCAGTGCGCTTTTCTGATTATATCACGGGTGTGTGTATCACTGAACAACTGCATGTATTATAAATAAGATGTATTAAGGCCTTATTACTAAAAATCTTAGTTGTAATTAGCAAGTCTGTGGTTTAATATCATTGTTTCAGCGCAGAACAGTGTAAAATTATGTCTAAAGATTTAAAATATTTTCACACTGGCCTTTAGCCTCCTTTTTGAAATTACACTTAGACATCATACATAACGCTTATTGACTACAGCCAATCGTATGCCTCGCCGGAAATAGTCCCCTATCAGTGTATCCTACATTAGAAAAGCTGGATTAATATATACTATAGAACACTTTTATAGGGAACAGAATTTGTGATGGTAGTAAACAGTTTCAGACACCGCGCCGTACGGCTTTGCTCATTACGCTGTAGCCGTCATACCACCTATCCACTGTAACCGCTCAGTTTGACTGCACACATCAGAAGAGCTCGCTTACACCTATCCGCTATGGTACATCAGTTGTACACTACTTATTGTGGTGCACAGTGGGATTGTTTGAACACACTGGATCGTCTGCACTTTTCGGACACCACTGCAAAATGGTGGAACCCCACAGTAGTGCGCTGTACAGTGAACAGGGCCCAGTGATTATCTGCTTTATACTGCATATTCATGAAGTTTGAATTCAGCTGCCCCTCCCACATTACTGTACTGGACCATCTTCATTAGAGTTTGCAGATACTCAGTTTTAGGATGGATGAGAGAGTTACGGTCACTGTCTCTGCTCAATTCCAAATAAAGAGGCCAAATTAAAATGGCAGTAATTTCTTTGTTGGTGTGTAGTGACCGTTTGTTTTTTTGACCGTTGGTGCTTTTTGCCTTCTTGCTTTTTTATTTTTTGTTATATAATCATATAACCAGCCATGTGGTTTCATACTGAAAACTTTTCTTTGTGAGTATCTTCTGTTTATACCTCTAACTCTGGTAGCATAATGCTAATTTCTGAAGCTGGGCCGACACCAGGGGTCTAACTAGGACATTATAGGTCCCCTCCCCTGAGGACAAACATGATTTTCAATTAATAAAAAAGTGCCCACATTAATAACTTTACATAGCATTTTCTCAGAGACATTTACACAGTAGTGTGTAGTTATTAGAGTACTGTTGTATAATTACAGTAAGTATGAGTCCAAACTTTACAGTGTAAAGCTGTATTACATTCCACAGGCCCCAAAGCAGTGCTGTTATATTCCCTACACGCTTCAGCTCTGGATGTCAGTTAAGAGAACTGCAGTTGATAATTTTGGACATCATAATAGATGTTGAGTTTAGTTTGTCTTTAACACAACTGGCCTGAATGGACCAACTAACAGGTCAGGTTCCCAGCCAGAAAATCTTTCAGTTCTCCTGATGTTCTCCAGTTTGAGTCTGGAGAGCCCATTAAAAATTTGGGTGAGTGGTTGCCACGGGCCCCCTATACAGTGGGCCCAAGGGCCACTGCCCCCTCTACTCCCCCAGACGTTACGACACTGGCCTACACTACACAATATTTAGCCCGATTTTAACCTCAATTTGCCTTTTCCAGCAAAAGTGATTTTTCATGTTGGGAGAAATAAGTTGATATGTATCCTTCTGATCGAGATCCGGAGTGACTGGAGGCCTTCCTGATTCCTTTAGTGTGAGACGGTCAGCTATGTTACTCCATGAGTGAGTCAGGCATCAGCCAATGAGAGAGCTAGTAGAGAGCACTAAGCTAGAGGAGCTGTTTGTAAACACAGGCGAATAAGAGTCTTTATCATGTTTTTGAATTATGAATTCAGACGTCTTTACAATTTCAAGTCAGCTGCCGGTTTGTAGTGAAATAGTCTCTCACAGTGATCACTGCGTTTCTCAACCACATACTCATCCTCAGTTTGTGTGGTTGCTACACATAAACGCACAAACAGATCCCGTCCAGTTCAGCTTTGTTTGTGTCACATGATAACGGGGCAGCTCTGGGTTCTTTTTGTAGCGATAAGTCATTACATGCCTTAATGTCTAATGTGAGCTCCCTCACGACAAAGAGACAAGAAATTCTCTGAAAGACTGACATTAAATTTGTGATGCTCTCTATTTTAGAAGTCTGTTCAGATTTGAAAAGTTGTGTATTTTACACACAGCTTAAGATGTGTTCAGTACGGTGGAGTCAAATAAACAAGCTCATCGTTAGTCCGTGTTCTGGATTGTTGTTCTTTTCAGACGAGTGTGTAATTTTGTCTGCAGCTTACTCAAAACTAAACTGACACAGAGGCTGTATGTCAAGAGGAGGTCATGAATATGCATGAATATGTTAGGGTTCACACCCACACTGCCAAATAGAAAAAGGTCAACAGAGAAAACTGAAAGTGATAAACACTCGTTTTAATTCGCTTTTCGGGAAAAATTCTGGACGGTGACTGAAATGTATGAAATGAGTTTGCTGAAATCTTTTTGCCAGAAATTAAAAACCGACAGGTCTTTAAAAAGATTCAGACCAGTTACAGAGAGCCTGTAAACCACATGAAACAAGCAGCTGATTTTCATTTTCAGAGCCTTTTTTAACTCCTTTCCACAGTGACCTTATGCAGTTTCCACCTGTTACGGAGGAGGTCTCAGTCCCTAGATGAGCTGTGCTTTTTTCATCAATAATATTAAAGGGGAACTCCATCGATTTTGCACAATTAATTAATCATTTAATGGTTTAGATGTAAACAAAATCATTCAGAGTAGTTTGGTGCAAAATGCACTTTTCTAGGGAAATTTAAGTCAAAATTGTTCACCATTGTAGTGATAGGAACCACACGTTCGTATGTCTACTCTTCAAACATCACCATTTTATCTGCCACCCAGAATGACCAGTGAACTTACATGTGTCTTAAACGTTTTATATGATAATGGTAAAATACTGCTAAACTTCTTTGGGTACTATTTTTCCTTACAACGCCCTGAATGTACTTCTCCGCCCTGCACGCGTTTTGGGGAAGGGTCTGACTGCAGAGCCGCAGATTTACACACCCACAGATTCACTCCAGCAGAAACTGGAATCAAAGTAAAAAACGTTTTTTGAGAGAAATAAATTTGTCATTGTTTGCCGTTAGCTTACAACAGACTGTCTAAAGTAGGCTATAAAAAAATAATAAATAAATAAAATAACTTCCTACCTCACTATCCTACCCCGTAAACTGGTAAGTGGAGTAGCAGTTTGTTGTTGACACCACCAATTTCCATTCGCTCTGGGTTGCTCTGCGTCGGCGCCGGCGGGTTCAGTCTCTCTTGTTTGTGTGTTCTGGGTCAAATCGATTTGGCTCTACGACATTTTCTAAACAGCCTCTTCAAAGTCCTCCGTATACTCTGCGTATTCTGAAATAGGTGAGAAAATTAAACTGTAAATAGAAGCTGCTGCTGGCGTTAGCCGTGTTGAGTGGCTGTAGCTACAGGCCCACTCCAAAGCACGTTGCGCTAACGTTGAGAATGTGGTTTTGAGAGGAAACACAGAAATTATCCTGGAGTAAAAGTTTGTACTTAAAATACATTTTAGGTCAAAACTTTGTGTCAAAACTATCACAAAACAAAGTCTCAGGTATCAAGCAAAGCATTCATAGCCATTTTGTGTAATAACTTAAGGGGACGTAGCTATTAGACCCATTAAATGCTTCAGATGTCTGGTTCCTATTACTATAATGGTGAACAATTCTGGTACATTTCTCTGGAAAGGTGCATTTCACACCGAACCACTCT